TGGGACTCGTAACATAAATAGTTAAAAGTGGATGTTACATTGTTCAGTGGCATAATGTGCACCTCTGCCTACCCCTTCGGGGGTAAAAGGCGTGATGTTATGTGATAAATAAACAGTACCTATTGTCAGTTATAGTATGATTGTTTGTATTGCCAATAATTATCTACAACTTCTAGCAACGAATCATTATGATTTTAAATTAATAACCATCAAATAATTATTGCTTCTTTTAAAAAACACTTATTATTTGTTTTACTTTGTATTACCAATTAACCATAAGTTTTAACGACGAATCATTATAGTTTAATAAAAATGATTATTTTACCAATTTCGGAGTATTTAATTTAATTTATCTATTTATTTTGACTTTCTAGATACCTATATTAGAATTTTTAGACAAGGCCATACCAGTTTATCCTAGAATGTGCCAATTTATATCAGGATCAACTAGTTCGTCCTAGCCTAAACTGGTTTATCCTATCGGGCTTAGGACAAATTAGTTTGAACTAGGTTATACTAGTTCATCCTAACGCGTATAGGAAGAACTAGTTTAGCCTAGGCAAAACTAGTTTTTCCTGAAATCGGGTTTGGCCGGTAACATATACATATACAATAGGCTCACCCATTATTAAGTGGCATTAAGTGCCGCACCTCTGCCTACCCCTTCGGGAATAAAAGGCGTGGTGTTATGTTATGTTAGTCCGTCAGTGAAGCTAGGTGCTCGTTCTAAAATGTAGATTCGAGTGGAGAAGAACGAGCAAGAAACTCCATTCGTTACTCTTTTAATAAACAAACATCTTTGATTTGAGAATATATAATGAGTGTATGTAACCATGTCACAATGAACTAAACAATCACGTGTGCCTCTATTTTAAACTTTGCTACTACTTTTCTGCGATTTGAATACTATCCAAAGTCAAAGTCAAAGATCTTTATTGTGAGACAGTGGTTACACAGGTTGTTCTAAAGGTTGTTGTGTTCTGGCACTGCTCCACCATGTTAGGCAGAGATCCGGCAGAGAGAAACTCTTTGAGTACCGTCATTATAGACACAATTAAAGAACAATAGGTTGCGGTCACCGGTGACTGCTTGGTGTTTGACAGTTTAAACCAGGGTAGAGATCCAGTATGTGGTATGTTTTAGTTAAAATAAATGCTTTGACTTTGACTGTGATTCGAGCAATGAGATGTAAACTGAATAGCTATTAATTTTTACAACTAAACAAAATAGCAAGTAGGAGCTCTATAAGATTGAACGTGTTATAAGTCTTTGTTACGGCAGCTATTGAATATTTCACGGTGCGCCCGGCACACAGCTATCAGAATAAAAAAGTGAAGAATGTCCCGAGGGCAAGCAATTTGCCTACTTAGCTCTCACATAAGGAAAGAAAACGTAAGACTGCGTTAAATAATATATCAAGCGATTCGTTCTCAGAAACACTGTATAAAGGATATTTTATATAATCTTTTTTGTTTTACGAAGAATATATATTATTAGGTTATTTGTTTGTTACAAACATAAACAGGTTTTCCTCAAGATAAATATACTTTTCAGTACTAGAGCGTTCATCACACTTTACACAAGGTAACTTAACCTAACATAGGTATGAATGTAAATTCACATAGATCTATGTCATGCGACACATCCTAAACGAGTGTTTCTAGAGGTATAACCATACAACTACAAGAATTACAGAGGACGTAGACAAATCCCTGTAAATCAACATAAAAAGAAGAGCAAACAAAAATTCAATAGTACTATTTTAATGACACTATTACAGGCCTTTTATAGCTCATTCACTAGATGACAATTCCACATAAGTTGCAAATAAAAATACGCATACAAAGCCGCAAACGAACTATGTAACACTATTTTGTAATTCCAGTACATATTCATGCATCATAGTGCTAACTAAATTAATTCTGCATACGATACTTCCAGACGTCAATAGTTGGAATACTGGGAACTATTTAGTCGACTAAAAGCATTGGAAGTGAATAATAATAGAATATTCTATTCAACTTTACTTGCTCGGATGAAACTACTGTATCATGCAAGCAGAGGCCACCAACATTTTTGCTTAGGCATTTGAGATAATGTAAAGAAGTTATTATTGTTTTCCGATGGACTTTCTTGGCTTAAAAAGTAAATACTAATATAGATTCTATGTTCTCTAATGAACTAAGAAAAGGGTTCTTGGTATTAAAGTAAACTAGTTTTCAAAGAATTTGTTCTGTACAAATTACAAATAGTTACATTTACTAAGTTTAAGTCATCTTTAAGTCATATAGGCTAATCTCTGTCTTACTTTACTGATCTTAACAACAAATAACAACCTTAAATATAGTTCTATAAATTAGATAATATCCCAAATATAAAATAAGAATATCTAAGAGAAACAGTTTAGTGTTAAAGACACAAACAACGAAAATGTTTACAACGCCCGTCCTGGCTCGATGCATTAACGGGATCCAGAGTTTGACAGAAATTGGGGCGATATTTTTATATCCAGAGCGTCTCCATCGAAGGCAGTGTGCATTATTTTAGATGCACTCTATTCCATTATAGCCCTGTTAAATTAACGTTGTCATGCCAAAACTCGTTCAATAAATTACATCTGAATGTTTGTAGTTAATATTTTTAGTTGACTACAAAATATGAACAACGGAGACATGGTACCAGATATTAAATGGTATTTTAAATAGACATAACTTACAACATATTCTGCATAACTAAATAATTTTCTTTAGCGTTCCACTGCAACACAAAGAAACGGGTATCTGTGCGTTAACCACAGTGCACACACATTAATCTTCTTATTATAATTCACTCACATTAAAATACGTCAACTGTCCCATCGCTGTGATATATTAACTGACGTTTTTATTTTTATTTAATTTTTTGGCTATCCTCCGCTTTTTCAAATCAGGGCCTCTAGCCAAAAGCCACTTTAGCGCTTGTCTACAGTAAGAGTAGAAATCAAAATGTATGGGGATGACACTGACAAGTGTCAAAATTTACGTCAATTCCATATAATTTGGTTTTCTATTCTACATGTAGACAAGCGCTAAATGGCATTTGGCTACAGCTGCAGGTAACGTTCTAACAAGTTAGAATTTGAGTTTAGTAACGCCATCTAACCTAATGAGATCAAACTAAATACTATATTTATGACAACTGAACTTTTCTTTATACCTACCTACTAGAACTAGATATTTTGTTTTTTTTTTTAAGGGGGGAAAATCATCGAATGACTTCTCCCGCCTGGGTGAGGCAGGAGAAACCGTCAGACTCTTACTGACTAAAATCCAACCCGTTCCTAAAGTCGCGGAGAACCTAACGGGTTACCGGGGCTCCGGCTCGACGTGCAGGAGAAGGAACGGGGTGGTTTTTAGTCAGTAAGAGTCTGACACTCCCTCCCGCCTCACCCAGGCGGGAACAGTCATTCGATGATTTACCCCCCTTAAAAAAACCCGTTCCTAATCCTGCCCTTCGAGCCGGAGCCCCGGCAACCCGTTAAGTCCTCTGCGGTTCCGTATCGGCATCAGCCCTATTGGCCGTGGTGGTCTGATGGCTCTTAGAGACGTGCGCGGAACGCGACGCGCCGAATGCTCGGGTCTGGTTCTGCTCGGGCAGCGAGCCACCCATGCTCGCCGTCCGCAGGCCCGTGCTTACGGTGGCCGGAGATCGTCACTCGATCCCCGACGCCCGGCGTGTCCTTCGCGGCGGCTGGGCTGTGAGGAACCAGCGCTTCGCTACCTCACGCAAGGAGGAAACGGCATCGCAAGCTTCTTCGCTCCGCATCATGGCCCTACTAGGGCCGGACACTAGAGGTCACCGCCGCCGATCACATCCCTGAGGTCACGGCGGTGTTCAGCCCACTCAGGGCATGCCCCTACAGTGTGTTCCACCGTATCCTCAGGGTGGTTCTCGCAGTGATGACACCCAGGCGTTTCCTCCCACCCCATCGTACCTCCCGAAGCTCCCATGTCCGGTGAGGACCTGCATCAGGCGGTAAGTGAGGACGCCGTAGCGTCTCTCAAGCTAACACTGCAAAGGCAGCGAACCCAAGAACTGGACATAACATTACTGTGATTTGACTTGGAAATCGAACGAAACATCTTACAATCACCTAGGGTGGATAAAGTAATATTGCAAAAATATGTAAATAAAGGAAAACCGTTAATGGAGAGGTGTAGGTATAAAACAAGGTTATTTACAACTCGTATGGGGTAAAAAGGGGGAAACTATAAAATAAAAACAGCCTGTAGTTTTTCACTGGCACTCGTAAATGTCAACGGAGCAGTAAAACATTTGTCTGTTAATTATAGGCTCCAAGATAGTAAAACCTTTAATAACTTAAAACTAAGAAAACTAGGTCGGTATTATTCAATGTGTTGACTTGCAATATGTGAAGAAGAAAGTAATGTAAATCTATTCATGTCTTAAACATCAAACATTTCTGATAGTCAAATATCTAAAAAATAATCTAGAGCTAGCTATTAATACTTGCATTCCAGTTTTATAGCAGTTTTAAAAATATATATTCTAATATATTCCTGAAACGAAGCAGTACCTTTAATCGCTCTTCCATGCATACGAGGCTATACCAGCAATACCACAAATAGACGAATACATGCATAAATTATAACAAAGTAATAAAAAACTGATTTACAATATAATGGGACGGGAGTCGGCGATACTATCGCAGTTCATTGTCAAAGTGATTGATTCGCTTGGGAGTAATAAAATTAATTTACCCTTTTGATTCGGAACGCAGTTGTCGAGTGGGCACGGAATTAACACGATATCGTCGACGGATTTACGGGAATTATTATTACAAACGACCAGTGCAGTAAGCGAGCAGAACATAATATCAGTTACCTTATTTTCTCGTAGATACGAAATCAGAGAATTTATTTAAATTACATATTTCCCGAAAGTGTAATTGTGACATTGTGATAGATGTCACTTCAAACAATAATGGAAGGCCTTTAATAAATTACCTCTTGGTTCGTAAGTGAAATCAGCCAAGTACTAGTCATGAAGGAGTCAGAGAGCCCACAACAGTTAAACAAAGTGAAAATGTCTTCACTTCAACTCCTTAAACACGCGCAATTCCATGGAGCAAACCAATTGGGTGACAAAGCTTCCAGGTTGGTTACTAATCGAAGACTGTCTACAGATACGTATTGTAGTTATTACTTCAGTCATACTTAATACTGAGAATAATCTATCCCGTGATTATATCATAATTATATTGCTTGATAGTCGCACTAGCGTCGAATAAACATCAGTTACAAGACTTCAAAAATAATTTATTCAATTCAATTTCTTAAAAAGAAAAGAATTCGCAATAATTTATAGAAAAACGTAGCGTTTTTCTCTCGATTTTCTTACTATTCAGATGTGATAAATGCGTAGTATTCAGACTTGAAATAAAATCAATTATGTTCCAGATAGTTAGCTCCACAGATGTTCTAAAAAGCTCTCAGATTTATTCTATCTAGACATTAATGGGTCTATCCTATTATAGTACATGATTAGTATTTTTCTTCGAGTCTTTTGTTACAAGATTTAAAGCGTAATTTTATAGAATTTAAACTTTATTTTCACAGTACTTTATGTTCAATTTTATTTTCTTTGTAAGAAAGATGACAAAGGAAATCATGTCGCTATATTTATGTTATCTTGTAGATATATTTGGGCCCCAACTTTACTGATCCTGTTGGGTCCCGCTATTGCTCTGGTAGTACTTACTGTCAACCGGTACTTGGACAGGCCTACTTTCATGGTGAGACATGACAAGTTCCTCGAGAAGAGAGACTTTCCTTCTGTCGTCGTGTGCCCTGAAGTCAATTTCGTTGAACAGAAAATGGACAACTTTTTGGCTAAACTGTAAGTGGTTTTCTTAAATGTACTAGTTTACCCAGACCACTACCATTTTTTGTAGCAAGGCTAGCCCTTATAATGCGTATTTGAGCATTATTATTTTAAAATCTTATACTTATTATTATATTATTATTTATATACATTATTATTTTAAAATATTATACAAAGCGGAAGAGTTAGTTTTTTTGTTTGTTTGTTTGAACGCGCTAATCTCCGTAACTACTAGTCTGATTTGAATAATTATTTTTGTGTTGGATAGCGCGTTTATCGAGGATGGCTATAAAACATCACGCTACGACCAGTAGGAGCTAAACAGAGCGTGTGAAACCGCGCATAAGTAGCTAGTTACTAAATAAAGCCGGGATCCTCTCAAAAATTTCAAAAACAGTCTATTGATTTATATTTAAGGTGCTGTCATTAGTCTTAGTAAATTCTTTTGTACAGAAACTATCCTCCTGGCATAAATGCGACTATAGCCAGAAGGATACTTCCACAACTGTCTGCGTTCTACTCCCTCGACGTGTTGTATCAACTATCAGACCTGATGCGAGTGGAACATCTCCTGGACTACAATGGTATAACTGTGGAGACAGCTGGGAGATTACTTACCGCTACCTGTGAAGAGACGCTTATCAAGTAAGGAACCCATAAATATTCACTTTAGTCGAAATCAAACCATTTATTCCAATCAAATTAGAACCGAAAGACACCTAAATGTCATCGCGAACCTAACGAACACGGCTCTGGTACGGCTCCGCCCGGTCGCCAATACGGCACACTTACAATCTTTTTGTATTGTTTACAAAACAAAAAACTCCTTGGCTCGGGCCATGCTTGAGACGTGCCCGAGCCGTGCTCGTTAGATGATCGATGACCTTAAAAGTAAAAATTTTAATAGTAAGGATGTGTAGTAAACTTAGTTTGTACAACAGATGCCGCTGGAATCGCCGTTTAGTCAACTGTTCAGATTTGTTCGAAATGGAGTTCACAGGAGATGGTTTCTGTTGTGTCTTCAACGGAAGATCATTGAGAAGGTAATACTACCAGTCAAACAATAAAGTTTAATTTTGCTTGTCAGGTGATCGATCTTTTATATCAAAGCGATCATTCTACTTTTCCTACCTTTAACTCCTGCTATCATTATGAAACGAATATGCTACAGAGAAATGGAGAACCACGGATTGAACATAAAGCAAACGTTATCGAGGAGGAAGTGGTACACAAAACTGTTCGGTTACACCAGCGGCCTGATGCTAGCCATCAACCAGAGCCAGACTCTTACATCTGTTGACCTTTCTTATAAATGGGTGAGTACCTATAATCGCAACCCCTACATTTTAACTACCATCCATGAATCAAGCCGTCAAAGTGGAGAAGTAAAGTCAAAGTCAAAGCATTTATTTCAATTAAACCATAATTTGGTAGTTTGAAACGTCAACAAATATAAAAAAAATAATAGTCTGTCAGTCAGTCCGTCAGTGAAGCTAAGTGAAGCTAGGTATTCATTCCAAAATGTAGATTCGAATGGAGAAGAACCAGCAAGAAACTCCATTCCACATCGAAGTATACCACAACTTTCTAATTTCCAGATGTTCAGGAGCAATTAATTCTTCGACATTATTGACATACACTTTTTTATCTAAGATATATAAAGCAACGTTCATAATATTTCTTATTTTCTTAGGTGGCTCTCCAGACAGGCAATCACTTCGTCGACACAACCATGAATGGAACAGCTGTGAGTCCTGGATCTGAGCACTGGATCGCCTATTACACGACTGGCTATCAGATAGCTCTAGGAGCTAAAACACTTCACCCGTCACTTAGGAAGTGTAACATGGCATCAGAAAAGTTAAAGTACTTTCCGAAGTATAGCCAGTAAGTTTAACGTCTAATGTCTGAATTATAATTACAATACAAAAGTATAGATACAACATAATGGCTGCATACAAAAAAGAAAATATGCTACGGCATAGACCTACTTTTTTAAGCTCCTACTATACATCTACCTACCTCTTATACATCGGAGCATAGATCTACCCGAGACACAACGCGTTGTCTATTATGTCTTAAGAGGTTAAGCATTTAAGAAAGAAATTTCAATAAAGTTCACAAAGTTGACTTAATAGATTCTCATGTTATTTTTGTTTTAGAAAGTACTGTACATTAGAGAAGGAAATAGCGAATACTTTGGACAAGTGTAATTGTGTCCGGAGCAACCATCCGAAGCCTCCTGGTACTATGAGATGCCGAGCGGCTATGCTGCGCTGTGCCACACAGGCGATGGGTAAAAACAAATAAATAAAGACCTTCAGCTAAGAGAGAAGAGTGCATTTAAGAATAACTAGAGCCAATTTTTATACCACCATCATTTATTTCTGAGTTTTTGTGAGGGATCTTACAATCACAGACGTTGGTTGGTTATTTGGTAAGGATGGTCTGTCACGTATGTTTATATTTCCAGTTGCGTTTGACGCCTTGAGCACCGACTGTCCTATGACGTGTGACACCAAGAAGGCCACTATGAAAGCCTCGAGGTTTGTCCTCGACGAGACTGTGAGCACTGTAGAACCATTCTAGTAAGTTCAACAATAGAATTATGTGCTGTTAAGATTGATGCCTCTATTCAACACTTTGATGTATTGCTCTTGTTGGTGATGACCATGACCAATGACCATCATTGTGTGTCATGTCAAATTCACGATACGATAAATAAGTATCAATAATGATATAGCTATGCATGTCTGTGTTTATATTTATATCATTTAAGAATTAAACAGCTTAATAGCGTTTGGATCTTGACAAGACAACTTCGTTAAAAGAGATGGTCGCTGTCTGGTACCAATGACCACGATGACCATCAATTCTGCGCTAGGCAAATATTGATTTAAGTTTTACTTAAATAATTTCTAGTAAGATTAACGTATTCTTCTTTGCTGTAATAGCCAAGGCTTGAACTTCAAGACAGTGACAGTAGTGCGGGTGTTCATACAGAGCCGCAAGCGACCCACGGTGGAGCGCTGGACATACTACGACTACATAGATTTGTTCTGTAAGTATCGATATATATCTGGTACTGATTCTTAACCGACTTCAACAATGAAGGTTCGCAGGCAGGGTTGACCTGTATATATGTATGTATGTATGGTTGTGCGCGATTGTCTCAACCGATTTTGATGCGTTTTTCAATCCCCAAGCGATCACCGGTAACCGCTCTCAACTAACTCCATTATAGACCTTATTTCCAATGGTTAGAAATCACTTTTGTATAAACAAATGTTGTGAACTTTTAATAATCGGACATTTAGTTAATACATGGGTAAGATTAAAAATATCTACAACAATGATAGGATCCAATATTTTCATTCATCTAAACGTAGTGCTCGTGGTCGATTGGTTATAAAACAATTATGATGTGGAATTGTGGACTATTTGACAGAAAATCCTATGATTAGCAATAAGTACTTAGTTTATTTTAAACTATTGTATATAAAAAGTAGGTACTTTAGTTAAATTTTGTATTCTATATTGCAGCTCAGCTAGGTGGGATGTTCAGCGTGTTCTTCGGATGCAGTGTGCTGACATTGTTAGCATTACTGCAAATCATCTGGCGTGCACTCTACAGACGATGTCGAAAATTTTGGAGTTCCACCAAGTAGAATTGTGATGTAACATACAAAAATTGCACTTTGTAAAACTTAATTAATTAACGAAGTAACAATGCTATTAATAAACCAATCAATCATACTAAAAAACCAATCAATTATTTTATTTCACAAAAGAATAAAAAGTAGCCTATGTGACTATCCATCCGTTCAACTACAATCAGTTAAAAAATCACGTTAATTAGTACCTCCGTTCTGCCGTTTAAGACAAGCAAACAAACAAATAGCCTTCCGCTCGCGTGGAATTCGGTTATATCGCGCTATTTACATTTTTTCAATAAGTAGGTTATTCGTTGACTGGTTTTAAATGACATACAACGTCATCTATACCAGTACATACAGCGCCATCTATACCAATATTTTTGTTTTTCCTAGGAAATATCATTTTTTCCGGGATAAAAAGTACCCTATTATTTAATCCAGACTTCTAACTTTACGTCTGCAAAATTTCAAAGCAATCGGTCTAATAGTTACGGCGTAAAGGTGGAACAAACAAACAAACTCACTTTCCGATTTATAATATAAGTAAGGATTATTCCCAATATAGTAAAATAATTGAGTTTCACAATGAAATGGGTTATTCATCATGTTTACATGCTTTCTTATATCTACTACCTGCATTTCTCTCATTCTCTAGTCATTTGATACTCAAGATTTGTTTATTATTTTCATATTAATGTTCAATTCATTATTTTATGTTGTTGCACTGTGTCACAACCATGATGCGAGAACTAACTAGTCTAAACCTTTACCACTGGGCCACCAAGGTACAGACTGTGCCTAGTTTGGGGTCCACGGGTACCTCTGTCGCGTTTGCGTTTATGTGAATGCTGTTTGCTTCTATGTTCTTTTGTACGCAATTTTTTTTTATGGCACAAGCCGGTAAACGAGCAGACGGATCACCTGATGGTAAGCAATCGGCGTCGCCCATGGACACCTGGAACACCAAAGGCATTACAAGTGCGTTACTGGCCTTTTGGAGATTAGGAGTTTGAAGATCGTTGGGGATTCAGGAATTGGAGAGATTGGTGAAGGGGAGGGTAATTGGGCCACCGGTAACATCACTGCACGACAAAACACAACGCAAGCGTTGCTTCACGTCGGTTTTCTGTGAGGCCGTGGTATCACTCCGGTCGAGCCGGCCCATTCGTGCCGAAGCATGGCTCTCCCACACTTCGCAGTATAACATAACATAACATCACGCCTTTTATCGCCGAATGAGTAGGCAGAGGTGCACATTACGGCACTTAATGCCACTATACAATGTAACACCCACTTTTCACTATTATTAAATATTTTGTAATTTTTTTTTATATATAAGCAAATAAATACATATTTTTTAAATATATTACTTGAATTAGAACGCAACAATTGATATCAAAAGCACTATAAAATAGGACCAAAAACGGAAAGACCGCAGATTTAAAGAACAAAACGTTTGTTTAGAATCTAAACAAAACTAATGTTTATTCGGTGTTAGTGTTCCATTATATATAAAGTCATAAACATTAATAATAGAGTTGGTGGTTTTGTCAGACGTGGAATAAATTTGTTTTAGAAAATAAACGGCCGTACATAGACTCTCGTGTGCGGTCAACGCAGAATTAATCTTGTTTGTATGAGTGCGTAATATAGTCTCACACTGTTGTCTCAAATCGCGTGTTGTTTTAGAATTATGAATGACATTTTTAATAAAATGTTTGTGCTATTTCTAGTTACTTTTATTGTAAATTCGCCTATTATGGAATAGGGTAACTATGAATATGACACAGATGTCATTTATGAACGACGGCTTTTTAGAAGCTTCATAAACAATATGAACTTCTTTCAAACAGGCCAATTAAAACCTAGCTCATATCGAAAAAAGAATCACTGTTACAAAGGCCCCATATCCCATAAACATGTATATATGTAGTATGCTAGAAAAAGCTTTTGAAATATGAAACCCCGATTCAATTACATCGAACTGCAAAAACTTTAAAACCTTTAATAAAAGGCAGGAAAGTGATCGAAAGTATGTGTGACACGAGAAAGTTGCGCGCCGCCCCGAATTGTCAGTGACAACCCTAATGAATAAAGTTAACCATCAGATTGGGAACTCTCACCGTTTAATTAAAATACTCCAGATTATACTCCAACTTAACTATTCCACTGGATTCCGTGTGGGAGGTGTTTTCGAATAGGTCGCGTGGTCCCTCCCTTTATTCTAAAGGGTAGCCTGTGGGTGTTTCATGGAATAAGCATTTTTTGTGAGCTGAGTAGATTACTTTTTTTACAGTTGAAAGTTTCTCCTAGATAATGAAGACTGGAAATGGAATTAGATTATCACTCTACCACTATGTTGGTGTTAAGTATCAATTACATATAATAATAATAATAATAATATAAAAAGCTGTTTATTTCTCATAAAATACAGTTTTATACAAATCTTAACTTAATCTTAAACTTAAATAGAAAAGATTGTACAGTTAAGGAGTTGCTATTTCATTACAATTCATTAAATGTCGCTTGAATATGTTATAGGTCTGCCTTTTATTTTTGTTTTCCAGTTTACAAATTATGTGTTTTGGCAACTTGTTTAGTATTCGGGCAAGACTGACATTCCATACTCTCTCACCATAATCGTTATGACATTTTGGTATTTCAAAGGTAGGGAGATAGTCTAGTTTACGTAATGTGTTTAATCTTTTTGTTGTATTCAATTTACACATGTCACTACTGTATGAGTTACAATTGCTAAATCTCTCTTATCAAATATACTCAAACCTTGCAATAATGAAACAAGTTGTGATAGTTATCTTTGTTCTTGAATTTAACTTTTAGAGGAACAATTGTTTTTAAAATTCTAATTTGCAAATTATATATATCCTTTAGATATGTTTTATACGTTCTTCCATAGCTAGTTAAGCCATAACTTATGACCGAATCAGCTAAAGACATATACATAAGTTCAGTGTTCTTATGGCACTTTATGTTTGAGCACACATAGTTTTGACAAAATTGCTCTTAACTTGTTACATATTAGGTTAACATGTGATCTCCAGTTAAACTTATGATCTATTATTAGTCCAAGGTAGGTGTGTTCTTTCACGATTTCAAGCTTCCCACACTTACAAGCATTATTGTTTATATGCATACAACTGTGCTCATGGGCTACGATCATCGGCAATGAAGCTGCTTTTTTGTAAGGCGAGTGTATATATATTAATTTAGTTTTACTATAATTAATTGATAATCCTAGATCATGAGCCCATTTGCACAATGTATCAAAATCGTCCTGCATCATACTTTGCGCCTTGATAATGTCTTTATGAGCAAGATCAAGCACGTATCATCGGCAAATTGGTACACCGAGACATGCCGGAATACATTACACATATCATTTACGTACAATAGATATTCTGTCGGTCCTAGTACCGATCCTTGGGCCGTGCCAAAGTGTTCGTATTTGGTCGCTCTGCTCCCGGCTATACTTACAGCATTATATCTATTTGTATGATAATTTTTAAGCAATTCCAACATTGGTCCCTGTATACCATTTTGTTCCATTTTTTGGTACAGTTTTTCAAAATTTAATGTATCAAACGCTTTGCTAAAATCAACCATAACAGCTAAAACATGGTTCCTATTATCTAAGTGCTTATTTATTTCATCTGAAAAAGTTGCCAGTAACTGAGAAGTACTTTTATTTCTTTGAAATCCGTACTGTTTTTCATGCAGAATGTTGTTACTCGTAAGAAAGTTATTTATTAAATGCCCAAAGTATTTTTCAATTATTTTATTTATACATGATAGTATTGTTATTGGTCTATAATTATTTGTATCATCATGTTTACCCTTTTTATGTATCGGCCTAATGAGACCTATCTTTAGCCTATCTGGATATATTGATCGAGTAATACAGGTGTTAATTAAGTGAGTGAGCACTGGGGTCAATTTGATACATAAGACGGAGACTTTATAAATGAAGGATTAATATATGATCATCAAGAAAGACAAAAAGATGTGGTATCATTTTAAGAACTAAAAGTGAAAATAGCTTGGAGGAACTCATTGTTGGAGGAAATGTTTAGGAGAAAAGGGCAAGGGGCCGATCCCCAACCAGAAAGTCTACCAGCCCAAGGACCACTGGTCTACACCACAATGCAAATGGCCGCTGATAAGAGCCGATTGAGACAATTCTTCGGATCCAGAGTGATACTAGGATGATCACATCCCTGAGGGAACTACGAACAGTACATTTTTACACTGGATAAAATACCTTCTTAATTTGTAAAACGATTACAATAAACGCGACACAAAAGTACTAACTAGTTAACCAAACTTCCTAATAAGATTATATTATACACAAACAAGATAACTTTAATCGAAACATCCACAATCGTGTCCCATTCAACATTTGGTATAGTCACGCCGTGTCGGGAACCTATTGCTCGCCCAAATCGAATTATATTTTAGCCAAATCACGCTCAAGCAATATATTGCGTTGCCAATGCATTTTGTATCGCATCGCCGATTGATACCGATTGTAGCTCGTATCGATTCGAGGAGCGATGCTGACATGTGAATTATTTCCTAAGATAGCGGTTGTAATCGATTTGGTTTATGACTTATGGAAAATATTTTTGTTTTCTTAAAATTGAGATATTGTCAAGAAAACTTCTAATGAGAAGCATTAATTTACATGATACGATTTCCAGTTTAATGAAATTATGTCCATGTAATTTACTGCAAGTCTTATACAAAAATGCTGGGGTTGAACACCTCAAAAATGCTGGGGTTCATCTGCCCCGCATACTCTCAATGTTTTATAATTTATGTCTTTGTCATAGTTACTTACCAGAGGAATTAACTAAAACAATTGTTGTACCAATAGTAAAGAATAAAACGGGGGATATATCAGACAAAAACAATTATCGCCCCATATCACTGGCAACCGTAATCGCGAAGGTGCTTGATAGCCTGCTTAATAATATTCTTGTGAAACACATAAAGTTGCATG